GGAGTAAGGCGCCCGTTCCTGCTCCCTTTATTCCGCATTCATATTGTCCTCCCTTCGCATTTTCCCCCCTCGTATTCCGCATGCACGTTCTCCGCCTCTTCTCCCTTTCCCCTTTATTTCCTTTTCCCCTTCGGCCCACCCGTTACAGTTTCACCGTTCGGCTCCACCGCTCAAACAGTCCACCGGTGCAAACGCTGCCCATGTCGACCGCAATGTGCCACAGTCCACCGGTCCATCGGTCCACCGGTCCGCCGGTCTAAAAGTCGGCGGGTCCGTGTCCGCCGGTCCACCGGTCCGCTGGTCCGCCAATCCACTGGTCCAGTGCATGGGCCGCCGGTCAGCCGGATTACTGGTCCACCGGTCCGCCGGTCCGCGTGTCCGCCGGATCACTGGTCCATCGGTCCGCCGGTCCGCCAGTCTGCCGGTCCGCTGGTCCGCCGGTCCATTGGTCTCTGGGTCCTCCGGTCCACCCGTCCACTGGTCCGCCGGTCCGCCGGTCCACCGGTCCACCGGTCCACCGGTCCACTGGTCCACCAGTCCACCGGCCAACGGGTCCACGTTTTCACAGGTCCACCTTCCACCGGTCCACCAGTCCGCCCGTCCACCGGTTCCTTGGTCCACCCGTCCGCCAATCTTTTGGTCAACGGTCCGCCAGTCCGCCGGTCCACCCGTCCACCGGTCCACGGGTCCACCGACCCACTGGTCCACCAATCCACCGGTCTATTACGGGTCAACCAGTCTGCCGGTCCACCGGTCCACTGGTTCACGGGTCCATTGGTCCACCGGTCAGAACGCACAAGTATAATCGCCAGTTGTCTGGGTGCCAGGGTGGGGGAGCTGGCGGACGAGGAGGAGGAGGAGGAGGAGGAGGAGGAGGAGGAGGAGGGAGGAGGAGGAGGAGGAGGAGGGAGGAGGAGGAGGAGGAGGAGGAGGAGGAGGAGGAGGAGGGAGGAGGAGGGCCAGTGTAAACCCAAGAGTTGGCAACGATGTTGGAAAAAACGTCCTTCCAAGCTCCCTTTTCATAGGCCCCTACAACGGGTCATTTACACTGGTCGACCTCCTCCTCCTCATCCTCCGCCTCCTCCTCCTCCTCGTCCGCCGGCTTCTCCACCCGGGCACACGGGCACCTGGGCACCCGGGCACCCCTGCACCTGAGCACCCGGGCACCCGCGGCCCGCGGGCACCTGGGCACCCGGGCACCCGGGCACCCTGGCACCCGGGCACCCTGGCACCCGGGCACCCTGGCACCCGGGCACTCGGGCACCCGGGCACCCGGGCATTTGGGCACCCGCGCACCTGGGCGTGCCGCCGAATTTGGCGCCCAAACTCTTATAACCATATGAATCTGCTAGGAGTTCTGATTGGGGAACTACTCTCCTCTCTTCCTTGATGACGTCTGAAAGATATCGGGCCCCTGTCCACGTATTGTTTTGGCCCCCAGGAAATTGGTTTTCGCTTAGGTTTTGTTTTCAAAATGTTGCTCCCGTTGAAGCGCTGGCCTCATTTTCGGGCTTGCGCTCGTTCTGAGTCGTGCTCCCGCTGCAGCGTTGGCCTCATTTCCGCGCTTCCACTTGTTTCGAATCGTGCTCCCCTGCAGCGCTGGCCTTCTTTCCCAATAGGCGCCAAAATCTAGAAAATACCCCCCCGGAAAAACCATCGGAAGTGATTCCACATTCGGTGTCGATTCGTTGTTTTTTTGTGCCGCAGAACTCCCCCCCCATCTTGGGGCGCCGCCGTATTCAGGAAGTATCAAGCGGGAGCCCCGTTTCTGCTTTGAGGAGGCGATGTTGAAAGCAGAGGCAGCGCGTGCTCTCCATCAGCCCCGCCTTGTATGGAGCTTTTCGGGGAGCCCACGGAGCTAGACATGGAGTCACGACTCCCGACCGGCCAAGACTTCTCGAAGACGAGCTTACTTCCAAGGAACCTGTGCGGCGTTGTGTTCTGCGCCGCTGTGCGATGCCATGCTTTGCGTTGCAATGCTTTGTGATGCAATGCTTCACTGCGCAACGCCACGCCATGTTATGGCATTCTACGCTATGCCGCTCTCTTCTACGCCATACCATGCCGTGCTCTACCATGCATCGCGTACCCTCTCGCGATCATTGCCTTGCTCGGTATCCGACGGTGCGAATAGAGAGGACATCTACGCCAATGTAAGTGATAGGAAGGAGGGATAGGACGTCATATGTGACGCGAGCGCACTTTGCTTGTCCTCCCCCCCCCTCCCCCTCTTCCTCCTCCTCCTCCTCCTCTTCATGGGGTGTTGAGGATGGTCGTTCTTTTTGATCTTGGGGCTGTTGTTTGCAGCCCCAAACGTGGGCTGTTGGCTGTCAGTAGCGCCCCCCCCTTGCCTTTTGGCAGAGCTCAGAGGACTGAGCCACTCGAGGTCCGCGACCGACCAGCCTCCTCCTCGTCCTCCTCCTCTTCTTCCTGCTCCTCTTCCTCGAGGTGCAGTGGTGCGCGATTTCCGATGTCAGGAAGAGGTGATCGTTCAAGGTGGCTGATCCACGCGGTGTTAGGCGCCAACGCCCGTGTGATTAACGTGAACTGGCTCAGCCTATTTTTATGATTTTCGCGCTTTTCGGTCCTCCTGAAGCGCTTACGTCGCCACGGCTGGATTGGCTCAAACAAACATTGGTCCCAAAACATATTCTTTGGTCCCAGAGACAATTCTGTGGTCTCAGAGACGCACCGTGCGTTTTCCACGTTTTTTGCTTGGGAGCCTCTTGGGCTCTTTGCTGGGCTGGGGCTGGGGCTGGGGCCCAGGCCGGGGCCGGGTCCACCCTCCTCGGGACCCCCCCATGGGACCTCCCCCAGGACCCCCCGGGAGACCCCCGCTGGGACCACCCCTCACGCAGGGAAGGGATGAAAAAGGCTTCCCTTTCAATCAATTGGAATGTTGTTTGATTTCCGTTTTTAGTTGTATCGCTTGACCATGGGGGCCTGGGGAAGCGGGGGGCGACAACGACGATGAGGAGGAGGAGGAGGAGGAGGAGGAGCAAGAGGAGGAGGAGGACGACGACGCCTCAAACGGAACAACGTCTCACACACGCCGAACGGTCGGTAGCTTTTTGATGTTGGTTGCCGAGGGAATTTGAAACATGGGAAAGCGCCAGAAAGAACTGCAATAACTTAGCTCTTTCCTCACTGGCGCGAAAAAGAAGCAAATTTTCGCCAAGGCCAAGCAAAACATCTTCATCAGCTTGCTGGAGGAGGACTTGGACCAGGTATGTTTTGTTTTGAAGACGCTTAAAGTTCTAAATCCGAAACAGGGGCTGCTGCCAATACTTGGGCATACTCTTACATGGACTTTGCAAGGGGTTTTGAGTTTGCCAGTGGGATTGCGCCACCATGTGTGTTCAAGCACGAGACCAGACAGGTGTGGTTCACTGTGTGCGGTGGCGATGTTACTTTATGGAGGAGTGGTGCCGATCTACCTGGTTTGAGGCAGGGACCAATACCAGGTTTGCAGTGAAGATCGGGGGTAAGTTAGGACCAGGAACACAGTGTACGAAGGATTATCAAGAAGATTATGTAATGGAGTCAGGATGTTTTACGGTATGAGGCCTATCAGCGACGTGCCGCACTATGTGATGAAGAACTGGGTGTAGAGCAGAAAAGAGTGATAACTGGGATGCCGGCGGAGAGCCTACCATGCGAGGCAGAGATAGAGTTTTGAATTTAGAGATTTGTTCGAACTGTGGCAGCACCCGCCCGAGGATCTTGAAGGGACTCGTCAAGTTTGGCACGTTTTTGCAAACGCAGCATGGCTGGTCCAGAGGTTCGTATCCTTGCCAGGAGAACCCAAGGATGTAACGATGTGGACTGGTGCAGGCCGTGGAGAGTACAAGACGCGATAGTCGATGAGTGGAGCGACAGTCACGGGGGGAACACATTTAACCAAATCTTGGGGGACCGCTCAGAGCGTATAGCTCTCTCTCCTGGAGAAGTTGAGCAGTGCGGCGTGGTCAAGGGTGCTTCCGGAGGACCGGGAATCCACGCGGTGTTCAAAGATAGGAGCATGGAGTGCAGTTTAGTCGCAGAGAGCAGCGAAAGTGCCGTGATTGCAGTATCCAGTCGGAAGGGGGTGAGGCAAATGCCGGCACACAGAAGTTTGCCAGTTTGTGTTGCAGGGAAAAGTGATACGAGGAATCGTTAAAGTACTCGGAATGGGGGCCAGCGGAAATGTGGCGGATGCGTTGAAAATGTGGCGGATGCGTTTGATAATGCACATGCAGTGCATCAGCCATCACGTCAGCCACCGAGTGGCGCCGAGTGGTGTCACTGTGTGTTACCGTTGGGGTTACCGTGAGCCAGTTACGGCTCGAGGTAAGGATCAGTTGAGATCCAGGGATCCAGGTGGCCGTCGTGACGCAGCCGTCGAGCTTAGCGTTGATCGTAGCGGTGGGTCTGATTGGTCAGTTTTGATCGCGCGCTTAGATTTGAATGCTGTATGTTGCGTTTCAGCTTGCTGTCGTTGTAGATTTGCTTTCAACGTCGGAACCCTCTTGTAGATTTGCCCCTTGTATCTTAGTGCATACAATGAGTGTGCAGGGCAGCTGTGGCGCATGAAGATAGAGTGGAGATCCCGCCATCATCTTAGCCACCTTTTGCTTACGTTTCTATAACCTTTTATATACGCGTGCAGCTTGATATAATTGCGTTTGGCGTGTTTTACGGCTTGATCCAGCCAAAGGTGGGTGTTAGAATCTCCGCCCCCACGCCTGGATGAGCAGCTAGCATTTATTCTTGGGATCTGGACGCTTATCATAACCGTTTGGCTCCAGAACTGATTGTGAAGTCTTGCGACACACTGCTAAAAGTCTTCTCATTGAATCTATCGTTATCGTGTACCTTCTTCGGGACTTGCATGAGGAGGAGGAAAATGAGAAGGAGGATGGATGAGAAGGATGGATGATGATGAGGAGGAGGAGGAGAAGGAGGAGGAGGAGGAGGAGCAGGAGCAGGAATGGGGAGGAGCAGATCTCTGTTTTGCCCAGGCGGCAGCCCGTGAAGACCAGTGTCAAATGGCAGAGAGCTTCCCTGTGACGCTATCCACCGAGGCGGAGGCCAGGGCGGGTTTGCGGGCGCAATCGGCAAGCCTCCTCTTCCTCCTCTTCGTCCTCATTCCCCCCTCCTCGTCACCCCCGCTCGTTGCCTTCACCTCTGCCTGCGCCGCCACCCTCGCCGCTCGCCCCCGCCCTCGTCGCCGTCCTCACCCTCGCCCTCGCCCCGCCGTGGCGTCTGATGGATGCACCACACTGGCGCCCCTGCTCGAGAGGCCGCCGGTCAGGCGCTACGCTGGTCGACAAGCTATCCCAGGAGCGGCCCAAGTGGTGCTGGCGGCCGTTCGCTGCGTTCCGTCGCTGGGGCCGCGGCAGAGCGCGACGAGGACAGCGCGGGTGACGACGACGATGGCAAGAGACGACGACGTGCACCGACCGCGGAGGCCCGCACCTCCTCGCCGCAGTCTGTGACAGTGGGCAGGCTCGGGGGTGAGGCTCCTGGCGCAACAGCGCCGGCAGCGCGCGGTGCGACGGGGGCGAGCGGGCACCCGCGGGAGGTGCATATGCGAGGCTCACGGGAGGGACGCTTCGGCAGTGGCTCGTCGGCGACTATACAGAGTGTGTGGTTACGCCGGGGTGCGGTCTGCGATCGGCGCCGCGGGGGCCCGGGGGGCACGGCACCGTCTCTTCGTCGGGCCTCCTCGGGGCGCGGCGGAGAGCTCCAGCGAGGCCCCCGCCTGTCCCCCCTGGTGCCCCCAGGGTGCCAGCTGCAAACCACACCCTCTGCAAACCGCACCCTTCGTAGTCGCCGAACTTGGGAGCCTTGGGGCAGGGGTCAGTGCAAACGTGGGTCAGCCAGAGCGCTGGATCTTGCAGGATCCTGCGGAGCCAGGGGTGCACTGACCCAGGCTTGCGCGCAGGATCCTTCAGGATCTTACCCCGGGCGCGCATTGACCTGGGTCGATGCGTCCCCGATGGAAGCGAGCGTGCACTCACAGGAGGTGCGCCCGAGGCTCACCTGAGGGACGATTCGGGAGGGACGCCGGCCCAGGGCACCAGTAGTGGGGGATTCCTCCAGCCGAGCCCAGTCAGGGAGCAATGCAAAGTGCACATTGCAGCAACCACTGGACCGCGTACGGGCACCACACCATTAACATTTTGTTTGTATCTGCCGTTGTGCGCTGGCCCGCCATCTCTGCCACTCATCAATGCAAATCCATCGCAGGCGCACGCACCATAGACCCTGCTAATCACCTCGTCGTCACTTTGTGCCGAATTTTGAAAGGGATGATGTGGGGTTGAGGTATTGCCCTATGTGTGCTGGAACGTTCGTTGGCACTCGTGGCGCAGTGTGCGCGCGTTGCGCATGTGGTGCATCTTGCGCACCAGGCCCGCGGGGGGCGCCTGTGCACCTGGCTGACCAGGTGTGCTCGTGGCGCACTTGGCACGCGTGGCACACCTCGCAGGTGCGGAGAACCTGGCGTTCGTCTTGGCTCCTAATGGCTGTCCATCAGATGGCGGCCACTGCTAATGCGGAGTCCTCGGTTTCGCTGATGTGGTGGAAGGGCCGCTGGGGTTGCGCGAGACAGCTTGCGGGATTTCAGCTGGGAAGGTGACCCGCACCCGCACCCTCACCCTCACCCTCGCAGTGCTCATCCTGATCTTCATTCTCGTTCTCATTGTTCTTCCTCATCCCCATCCTCATCCTCATCATCGCGTGCTGCGCTGTACTGCTGCATTGTTCCAATTCCGCTGTTCTGTTATCTCGCTTTCCATGGACTTTCTGGTGTCTGCCTCTTCCCCGTCTCTTCCCTCGTCCTCCCTCCGCCACCTCGGCCCCCTTCCTCATCCGCCCCCTGCGTTACCTTCACCGAAACTGGCCCCCAGACCCGTTCTGAAGCGCGTTCTTGGCGCCCAGGATTTCGAGGTGGATCCAGCCGTGGCGACGAGGGCTCCGAGGCCCCACAAAGACCGAACACTTTTTTTGGTCGGCGGGTCGGGAGCGGGCCCCTTCGGTTAAGAGCGAGCACAAAGACCGAACACGTCAGCATCAGTTTTCTTCTTCTTCCAACCCACCAGATTTCTAGCGCTAGTTGTTTGTTCAATGCGCGGGCCCACAGGGTCTCGACCTCTCCCCCCAGGTGCGTTTTTCGCTCGGGATCCACCTCTCACTACCCCGCGGCCTTGAACGGGCCTCCGGATGCCGACATCGACGAGAAGCGCCAGGATCGTCCGAGGCCGAGACCCTGTTTCTCTTCTTGGCGGCCCTGTAAAAAAGGGAAGGTGGTTCGGCGGCGATCGAGGGGGGGAAATGAGAAGGAGAAGGTCTTCTCAGAAGGCTCGGAAGTCCCCCCGCCTTCTGCGAAGTTTTCGAAGCCTTCCCCGAAGACACAGAAAACCTCTCAGAAGGTGCGACGGCTTCTGAGAAGTCCCGCCGCTTTGCGAGAAGGTCTCCTCCTCCTCGCTGGCCCCCCCGCTCGCCGCCGAGCGATGGCGTGGGGCAGGGACGGCCCTCCAAGAAGACCGGGGGGGGGCCGCGCGAGAAGGCATGGGCCTCCGCGGGAGGGGCCCGGCGGTTGCTCAGAGCGTCCTCCTGGGTCCCACATGCTACTCCAAGGCGCCCCCGCCCCCTCAGACGGCCCCGCCCGGCCCTCGCGCATTCTCTCTCTCTCTCTCTCTTTATGCACGCCGTCGACTTTGGCCCCCTTGCTGCCGCGGCCAGGAGTTCGGCAGCACGCCAAGGAGGCCTCGTGTGTCGTCGACGTTTCGTCTTTCGAGTGCATTCGCGCGCGCTAGCGCCTGTTAGTCGATGAGAAACGCCGATTCAGCATCGATTAGCGTCGATCAGCGTCGGTTCGCAAGAGCCAGCAAGATGGCATGGGGGGCTCCCATGAGTTGCCACCAACGAATGAGGGGGCTCCCATGAGTTGCCACCAACGAATGAGAGGAGGAGGAGGAGGAGGAGGAGGAGGAGGAGGAGGAGGAGGAGGAGCAGGAGGAGGAAGAGGAGGAGGAGGAGGAGGAGGAGTAGGAGGAGGAGGAGGAGGAGGAGGAGGAGGAGGGAGGAGGAGGAGGTGGAGGATGAGGATGAGATGAGGAGGAGGAGGAGCAGGAGGAGGAGGAGGAGGAGGAGGAGGAGGAGGAGGAGGAGGCCGTTCCCCCCCCCCGCTGCCGCAGCCGGGAGGTCCCGCTCTCCAGCTGCCTGCGCCTGCGGCTGGCCGAGCTCCTGCGGGGCAAGGCGGGCGTGCAGGCGGCGCTCGCCCTCGCGGGCCTGCGGCAGGACGCGCCCTCGGGGGGCCCCCGCGGGCCGCTCCTCGGCGGCGGACGGCGAGCGACGACGACGGCGACGACGGCGGCGACGACGACGACGACGACGGCGACGACGACGACGGCGACGACGACGACGACGGCGACGGCGGCGACGACGGCGACGACGACGACGACGCCCTCGGCGGCGGCGGCGGCGGCGTCGCCGCCCCTCGTCCCTCGTCGCCAGCTGGGATTACCTCGAGGGCCCGGCTTGCCCGAGGTGCCCCTGGCCGAGGGTGCCCCTCTGGGGGCTCCTTGGGGCCCCGCGATGGGGTGGCCTGGAGGCCGTGGGCGCCTCCTTGTAGATCCTGATGGCACCTTGGGCCGGGGGCACTTCTGGCAACTCCTGACTACAGCGCCGTTTTTAATACATGCTCCGCGTGCGGACCATGTCTTAAAAATAAAGGGTTGATTAATAAATACAAGGATGAGTTTATGCATTAATTTATCCATGAATTAATCATGTATGAAACATCTTATGTTTTTAAGAATCCGATGTATTTCAAACTGCCCTGTCGTCAGAACGCACCCCAGGAGAGGTCCTGAGATCAGTGGTGCCTGTACCTGTTTTATCCCCCCAGAGGGGCGCTGCCAGGCAGTGAGTATGATGCCGACGAGGCCCCGAGAGGTCAAGAGGCAGAGAGGGCACTCGCAGGCCTTTTCCAGCCTCCCAAGACACTTCGCTATTCGGAGGCTACAGACAAGCAGCGCAGCCTTCAGGGATGAATCGAGCGATTTTGGGTCCGCGTGTTAAGAGCATCACGGCATCAGATGTCAGGGAGGTGCTAGCGGACGGGGATCTGGGATTTCACGAGACTGCTGGACAGCAGGAGCCAGCCCGGAGGAGGAGGCGGAGGAGGAGGAGGGGGAGGAGGAGGAGCAGGAGGAGGAGGAGGAGGAGGAAGCCTTGGCAGTTAGGTTCACCTCTGCCTCGACGGCTGAAACGAGGCTGCTCGCCTGAACTCGAGCTGTTCGCTGCTGGCTAGACGATTCGGCGTGGCGGAGGGATGCCGGCGGGACCCATGGCCTGTTGAGCCTCTCGGGCCCGCTTCGACGCTGGGCCGAATTCCCTCCAACGTTTATCAGGAGGGAACAAAAACACAGACACAATTAATCGTCGATCCCCAGGAAAATATGGGAAACTATGGGAAGTGGGGGGAAGACAAAAACCCAGAACATATGGGAAATATGGGGAATCTTTTTATTTGTGTGTATTTATTTGTGTGTCCTGGGGCCCCTTCAGTTCACAGCTCTGGACGGATGAGAGGTTATCACACTAAGGTGCGTTCCCCTCACACTCGGGCGAGGCTCCCAAACTTCAAGTTGATTCTTGAAATCCTCGATGCGTCAGATCTGCTGCAAGAGTAGCTCCTCCCCACTCCAACCCCCCCCCGCTCCACCCCCACCCGCCAGTTGGTTCGTGGGCAATGCCCACTGAAACAATCAGTCAGACTAGGTAAGCTCCTAGGGTCCCTCAGAGTCGCCTCAAGACACCAGGCCAGACGCCAGGAGATGGGGCGGGGACCTGGGGCCAAGGGTCCAGCGGGATAGTGGCGACGAGGACGGAACGGGCGTGGCCTGCATCCTATGTCAGACAAATCCACTGCTCAGCGCCGCGTACACGTTCCCGTCCTATCTCCGCACGGGCTCCTCGGCCCTCAGCTTGGTTTGCACACTCTCAGCCGTGCTGAGTAAATACAAGCAAGAAGTCCAACCATTCCCGCTTGCCTGGAGGTGGGCTCTCTCCGAGGCGATTCATCAATTCCGCTGCCCTCACGCTGCCTTGTTGCGCCTGTCGGCGCAGTCCTGCCATATCTACGCCGTGGCTTGCCGCTGGCGGACGAGCTTCTGAACCTGCTTCTCGAGCGCTGTGGGAGGAGGCGCTCCCACGATGGCCGATCCGCCCGTGGCCTTCATCGCCGTGTAAGTCATGCCGCGGATCTGCAGGATGCTGAGCGCGTCGAACTTCAGAGGCTCCTCGGTGTTCCCCTCGCGGATCTTGTTGACTTTGGCCTCGTTCTCCGACGTGAACAGTGTAATGCCCAGGGGGTTCAGCATGATGTGTACTTTCCAGCGCTCTGTTTGCCCTTGCTCTGCGTAGGCCTTCTTGGTTCGCAGGTACCTCACCAGGTCCGCCAGCTCGTCGTATCCCATCACGTCCATGACCAGGCTGAGCTTCTTCATGTCGCTCTTGATCGTGGGCGCCATGTTGTCCATCCTGCCGAGCGCTCCCAGGAACTCCGCTGCCACGTGTAAGTGTGGGGAGCCCATGTCCTTCTCGTCCGCCTGGCTGCGCTCGGCGTATCTGGCCCCTGCTCCCGATCCCGCCAGAATCGCTGGATGCTCGTCGCCCTCCACCAAGAAGGAATCCCAGAGACTGCCTGAGATGGCCTTTATCTGCTGTGCGTTGTTGAGAGTCAGCTTTTCCATGGCGAGTAGCTCCTCGCCGCTCCCCTCGAAGCCATCGGGCTTGCCACTCTGCTTCTTCGGCTCGCCACGGGCCGTCTTGCGTACTGGCTGCGGCGCGCTTCCGTCCGAGGGTCCTCTCGCTCGTCGTCCGCCGGTCGCGCCTCTCCAACTCTGCACCGTCGGGCCCTTCAGCGTGTGTGCGAACGTGCTCAAGATGGCTGTTCAGTTCGGTATGCTCTGCGGCGCAGTAGCCGCACACGTAGGTATGCTGCTCAATGGGCCGAGCAGAAAAGCATGTAGAGCGAGTGGGGCAGGCACGCGGCACTCTCCTGTCCATAGTGAGGCAGTGTCGTAAGCACGACGCGCATGAGGCAAAGGCTGTCTTGCACCAGGGACATACGGTCGTGCAGCTGAGCATGGAGTGCATGTTCCCCATGTGGTGCGCATGTGTGATGTGTGCCGTCAAACCTTTCAGTGTCTGAAACGTGCTGCCACAAGGGGTCCCGTCATTTTTCCCATGCGTACAAATCCATTCGTCGATAACTGTGCTGTGCTCGCTGTTCGTGCCGTCGTGCTCGTGCGTCGCTGCGTGCTGGGCGCCCTCCCCCCATCTCCGACGCAATAAGTCCAACCAACCTCTGTACCCGTACCATTCTAGCTGCACTTGTGCGGGTAAGGAGGCTCCTGTTCTTGGAGGTGTCTACTTTGGAGAAGGCGAGGGCGAGGTTCCTGTTGGTTAAAACGCTGAGAGCATTTTCACGCTCGTGCCAATCGTCTCCGAACGTGCTGTCCAACGCTGCCAGTGCCAGCAGGTCTTGCTTGCACTGCCGCGCCCACGGTGTACTGTACGAAGTTCTTTGACTGTGTCACATAACTCCCAATACTCGAAAACCTGTGCATTGCTATGTGTACGGGCACGATCTCCGTACTGTTGCCTAGCTCGTCCATGCATCAAACATCTAAGTAACTTGATGAGAGTGGTGTCCAGCGCTTTTGTAAACTCTGGCGGCAGTACAAAGGCCGTCAATCCCGTGATGGCCGCGCTGTACACGACACAAACGAAAAGTGCCCCCAGCTGCCTGCGATGTAGCGGCTGATGCTGCGCTGCGCCTAACGATCGCCAAGCTGCTCGAGCCCCTCGGATTCGGTTTTTGAGTTCGGTTCTCAGCTCGCCGTCAAAACTGAGTATGAGCCAGAGAACGCGGCTTTCTCGGCATACTTCTCCCTTGAGGAAACGGTTCCTAGCGAGCTCCTTGGCGGTCTGGAACGCGCCGTCTCCACTCAGGGCAATGAGGTGGTTAGTCTTGTCCGCGTTCAAATGATGTCCGTTTACTTGTTTAGGTGCTTGCAGTCTCTATGTTGCATGATTCAGCTGTCGTGCAATGTACTCGCCATTGGGTGCGTATGCGTGTATGGGTTCTTTCGTTACGTCGTCTACGAAGAGGCCGACCCCTATGTCCACCCGTTCCTCCCCACCAGTTACAGGGGGACCTCGAAGCCAACTATAGCTAACACTAGATCCCGCTAGTTCATCATTCCAGCTAGCAGCTGTCGGTGAGTATACGTCTACGACCCCCCCGCTGCCATAGAGTGCCCCATGGTGGTGCCTATGTGGTGGTGGTGGGGGGGTCTATCTCGCAGTCGATTCCCGTGACATGGATGCTGGTCATGTCGATTGCCTGGTCCAGGGGCCCGACGTTTTCTGTGCGACCGTGCTGCTTCGAAGTTCGAGACGGTGTAACTAAGTTTCCCTTCTCTGCATCTCCACGTAGCCACCGAAAGAGACAAGAGGCATTCTTCCCTCCTCCGTCCTCGCATACCTCCGCGGGCGCAATCAGGGGGCGCGGGTCGACGAGAAACTTTGTGGAGGTGGCCGAATAACGACGCGCCAAACGCGGCGAAACAGTGGAGGACCCTCTGCCCCTTGAGGCCTATCTTGCCATTATTCTTGGCCTGCGCGAACGGCTGCGAGCGGAGCGGCGTGGGCGGAGCGAATCCGACGATCCTAATCAAAGCTAGCAAGTCATTGTAACGCCTGCTGAGCGTCTCTGGTGTGTATGCCCTATGCCTTGAACATGGTACATGCGATAATCGATGCACATGCCGAGGGCCTCTGCTAGTACCCGCTAAGACGGCCCAGCTCGCCGCTCAGGTGCCCGATGAAGATGCCCGATCTGCCCCATCCTGTCGCTGTGCACGAGCTCTCTAAGGTCATGCTGTTGATGCAGATGTGACAAGAAAAACTGCGGTCACGGATCCATTCTGCCCGGTCTAATCTAGTACATTGCATTCCTCCGTCTTGCGGGGCTTTGGCAAATCCCAGTTCCCATTCTGTCGTGGTCATCGTCTGCCTGGCTGAGAACAAGAATTTCTTTTTTGGGCCCTTGCCCGTGCCCGAGAGTGTGACGCGTATTCTGTGCATTTCTTCCATTTTGCCGCCCCGCCAGGCCTTCGTGATCTCGTTGACTGGCGTCTCCGTCTTCCCGATTTCCCCTGTCTGCGAAGCCCCTGCATGCGGCGAGTCATGCTCTTTAACTTAACTGTTGCGCGATTCGGTCGAAATCGCTGGGGCCGTTGCCCTCGAAGGCCTTGCTGCCAGTGCGATGTAGTTGCCCACGCAGGTCGCCGCGCTCTCTGATAAGCTGCATTCTCTGCTCGCGCACCTGCTCGTGATCGATGATCGTGCTCACTTGCTTCGGGAAAGGTTCTGTCATGCTGCCGCGAATGCATCCCGAGAGAAGGTCCCGCGCTGCTTGCACGTCGCCACGGTCCCAAATCTGTCTCCAGTCACCTTCTGTGATCTGCTGTGCACGACCTTCAACTGTCTCAATAAAGCCTTACCGTCGGTGACCTCTGGAATAGGCCGCCACCATCACATCTCTATTCGCAGGTGGTGTGAAATGAGCCTGGTGGGCTCTGCGCACTCCGATGTCCCTCTGCGCCAAGACTGGTACGTGACCGTGTAGATGTGTGGATCCAAACTTTTGCAGCCTCCGTCCCAGTCCCTGCAGGGTGTTCCGTCTCGTGATTCGGGGGGCGGCTGGCTGCGGCATTCTGATGTGGTTAATCTTACTTCTGTGCGTCCCCTGGAAGAAGGTCACCCCTGATGTCCAAAATGTGTCCGCGACCGCCATGTGATTTTCTTCCAGGGACCCGCGTCTCATAGTAGAGACTTTTCCTTCTAATGCGGGCTCGTTTATGCAGACCTCGTTGCTGATCCGTACGTACTTCCTACCCGTGACGTCTGTGCGGACCCCAAATGCGCAGCTTAGGTCTCCCACGATCAACGGTAAACAATTGCTGCCCATGCGGTCCATCTCATTATGAATCCAACCAAGCGCTGCTTTGACTGTGCTGTGTCATAGTTTTGCAGCAGTTCCTTTTGGTGGTAAGTAAATGGCAAGCACTGCAAGACCCATCATGCCCAGATGAAACTTGACTAACTCAATCTCCCAGGTAGACCCCGGGACTTCGGTGGCACCTGAATGTTGGACACGGTGTCGTTGAACTTCTCGCCGTCCAATGCTGTTGGGCCACAACTTCGATTCGTAACTGCTTTTCAGCCATCCAAACTGTATAGCTTTGTGATGAGAAAGCTGGCACTGAATGGTGTCTGTCTCAGCGTGAGCCGCTTTGCCAGTGCCGATGGAAATGGCCAAGTCCTTGTTCGCTGTGTTCTCGGAGATCTCCTCGAGGCGCGCGAAACCCTCACTCTGCACGTTATAGAATATTATCTTCACTAGAAGAAACCAACGCAGAGGTAGTGTGCCCATGCAACTATCTGGCCCGAGACGACCGAGCCCCGCTGCGCTGCCCTGGGACGTACTGCTCACATGGTGTTCACTGAGCAGGTGCGCGGTCGGAGCTGAGACGGGACTCGAGCCAGAGTTGCTCTTGAGGCGGAGGAGGAGGATGAGGAAGACGAGGTGGAGGAGGAGGAGGAGGTGTAGGAGGAGGAGGAGGAGGAGGCGGAGGAGGAGGAGGAAGAGGAAGACGAATCACAATAATAGTATTATTAATATCAGGAAACAGCATAATAAGACGAATAATCATAATACTGAGAAGACTAGTAATACGAATATTATTAATACTACGAATATGAAGAAAGCTACCACTGACAACAATAATAATAAGCACACTATCAATACGCATACTAATAATCACACTACTACGATTACTAAGAAAACTAATAACACTGCTAATACGAATGATAAGCATATTAAAACTACATAGAACGAATACGAATATTAATAGCAATAAGGATACTACCAACATAACAATACGAATACCACACCTAATAATGATACTGATCATAAGAGTAATACGACGAATAAGACCACGAGTAATACGAATAATACGAACACTAAGATTAATACTACTAGTCATACCACGAATAATAGTTACAGTATTAAATAATCAGAATCAGACGAATCATAATAAAACGAATGATACCAATCATAATCATATTAGTGCTACTACTAATATTACCTAAAAGCGAAGACTGATAGGTTTCTAGTGGTCTCAAAAGAGCTCACAGATCACTCCACAGGGGGGTCCGGGCAGGTGTTGGGGAGTTGCCGGGCGGCAGGGTGCCGGGCTCGTTTTTCACCAACAGTCACACACTTCGTGCTCTTCGACTTCCCAGAACTCCATTCCCAGGCCACATTCTGAATACCCGGATGCAACAGTCACACACTTCGTGCTCTTCGAGATCCCAGAACGCCATTCCCGGGCCACCTTTAGAATAACCGGATGCAACAGTCACACACTTCGTGCTCTTCGAGTTCCCAGAACTCCATTCCCGGGCCACATTTGGAGGGCCGGATGCAACAGTCACACACTTCGTGCTCTTCGAGTTCCCAGAACTCCATTCCCGGGCCACATTTTGGATGCCCGGAGCCAACTGTAGGCCACTTCGTGCTCTTCGAGTTCCCAGAACTCCATTCCCGGGCCACATTTTGAATGCCCGGAGCCAACTGTAGGCCACTTCGTGCTCTTCGAGTTCCCAGAACTCCATTCCCGGGCCGCATTTTGAATGCCCGTAGCCAACTGTAGGCAACTTCGTGCTCTTCGACTTCCCAGAACTCCCATTCCTGGGCCACATTTTCAGCAGGGGCAAGAGCACGACGAGGAGGAGGACGAGCAAGACCAGGAGGACGAGGACGAGCAGGAGCAGGACGAGGAGCAGGAGGAGCAGGAGAAGAAGGACGAGCAGGAGGAGGAGGAGGACGAGCAGGAGGAGGAGGACGACCAGGAGGAGGAGGACGACCAGGAAGAGGAGGAGGAGAAGGAGGGGAGGGGGAGGAGTGCCAGGAGGAGGAGGAGGAGGAGGAGGAGGAGGAGGAGGAGGAATAGGAGGAGAGGAGGAGGAGGAGGACGAGGACGAGGACGAGGAGGAGGAGGAGGAGGGGGGGGGAGAGTACCAGGAGGAGGAGAACGAGGACCACCAGGAGGAGGAGGAGGAGGAGGAGGAGGAGGAGGAGGAGGAGAGAACACCAGGAGGAGGAGGACGAGCAAGACGAGGAGGACGAGAACGAGGACGACCAGGAAGAGGAGGAGGAGGAGGAGGAGGAGGGGAGGGGGAGGACTACCAGGAGGAGGAGGAGGAGGAGGAGGAGGAGGAGGAAGAGGAGGAGGAGGACGAGGAGGAGGAGGAGGAGGACGAGGAGGAGGAGGGGGGGGGAGAGCACCAGGAGGAGGAGAACGAGGACCACCAGGAGGAGGAGGAGGAGGAGGAGGAGGAGGAGGAGGAGGAGGAGGAGGAGAGAGCACCAGGAGGAGGAGGACGAGCAAGACGAGGAGGACGAGAACGAGGACGAGCAGGAGGAAGAGGAGGAGGAGGAGGAGGAGGAGGAGGAGGAGCAGGAGAAAGAGGAGGAGGAGGAGGAGGCAGGCTGAGGCTGAGGCTGTGACTGCGACTGCCGTTGCCGCTGCGACTGTCATCGCGAATGCGACTACGACTGCGAGAACAGCAGAATTCGACAACTGGATTTTCATCTGAATCTTAAGGGGAATGCTTTCAGATATGCTTCTACACATCGCTGTTCAGATATATCCAATGCATTTTTTTGACTATCACTATTATTACACATAAGGATAATCATAATAACACTCACACTACTAATAAGAAGAGGAAAAGGAGGACGAGGAGGAGGAGGAGGAGGAGGAGGAGGAGGAGTAGGAGGAGGAGTATGAGGAGGAGGAGGAGGAGGAGGAGGAAGAGGAGGGGGCCAGGCGCTTCGTTCCCTCCCCTGTCTCCCCTTCCCTTTCCCTCCCACCTCTGCAGTGTCCCCCCTCCCCCCTTCGCTTCCAGAGGTCTCTGGAGGTCTTCGGAGGCCGCTGGACACGTCTCCATACCCCTTTGAGGTCTCTGGAGGTCCTTACCAAGGGACAGTCGCGTCCAGAACCTCGATCCTCCTGAATCGCCGATCCACCTTCCGCCCCCTTCAACTTTTTCCCACCCCAGTTCGTCCTCTCGTTGCTCTGCCCTCGTAGCAGCGGTCGGCCCCGAAGGAGCTCGAGTCCTTCGGGGATATCGCCCAGGCCCGGCCGCTGCGCGCCGGGGGGTGGCCGTGTTGGACGACGGTGGTGGCGGCTTCTGTGCGGAGGGGATAGGCAGTGGGACAGGCAGGGGAGCGGATGAGCAAAGCGATGAGCAGGCGGGAACCGAGGTTCGAGGATGGATGCTGACGGGCGTTTTCTGGAGATTCCTCTCGCTTCGCGGCTTTGCCGCGCTGGTCTGCCGTGTCGTTCCGCCCCAGGGCGCTGTCAGCGCCACGGGTGGCGGATGCGGCCCCCCCTCCCCCCCTCCTCGTTCAGCGCCAGGACGAGCGTGCGAATGTTCACGGGGGCAATGAGCATTCACCGCGTGTCAGCACAAGGCAACACCAAGTTCAAGCTCCGATGAGCATAGTAACGATGCGCCATTTGTACACAGTTCCGCCTGCGGGTCTCTTGGTGCTTCTTTTGGGCCGTCTGGGGGGCTTCTTGGGGGCCTCTTGGAGGCTTCTTGGGGGCCTCTGGGCGCTTCTTGGGGGTCTCTTGGGGCCTCTTGGGGGCCTCTTGGGGGCCTCTTGGGCTGTCCTGGGGTGCTCTTGCGCCGTCCGGCACCGCGGCGGGCCCGGGCCCACACCAGCCCTCCGACGCGCTGCTCTCCTCGCCGCGGCGGCCGTCCCCCGCGCTCCTCTCCCGCGCGTCCTCCTCAACCCCCTCGCCCTCCTCCTCCTCCTCCTCCACCTCCTCCTCCTGCTCCTCCTCCTCCTCCTCCTCGTCCTCCTCCTCCTCCTCCTCCTCCTCCTCCTCCTCCTCCCCCTCCTCCTCCTCCTCCTCCTCCTCCTCCTCCTCCTCCTCCTCGTCCTCCTCCTCCTCCTCCTCGTCCTCCTCCCCCTCCTCCTCCTCCCTCGCTCGCCGCCGACCCCTGGCCTGCGCGGAGGTCGAGCACGATCCAGGGAGCGAGCCCGGCACCGCCGCCGTGCTCGTCACCTTCTGGGACAGGCGCTCGGCGGGGAGCGCGAAGGAGGCTGCCGCCGGGGGCCCGGCCGGCCGGAGCGTGTGGACCTCCCCTCCCGTTTCGGGGGCAGCGCGAGTCGGACGTGGCCAGGACGAGGATCCTGGGCGGCTCACGCTGCCGAGGGCCCAGGCCGAGGACGTGCTGAGCGGAGACGGCGAGGATCGGGCGGGGCCGGGGCGAGGAGAGCTCCGTTGCAGAGTGTTCCGGGATGCTCTCAGAGCGTTCCGAAACGCTCTGAGCAGGCCGCGGCGCCCGATACATCGTCCGGCACCGCTGGATCGCAGAGACTCTCGATTTGCCCTCCCGCGATGTTACCCTCGTCCTTCAGCCACGCGCAGAGGGAGGTAGGGGGAGGGGGGAGGGCTTCTCAGAAGCACCCCTGCTTCTTAGAAGGCGCGGGCTTTATCTATAGACGTGAGGCCGGCGCCTTCCAGGAAGCAGCCTCCTCCTAAGAAGCCCTCCCCCCTACCCCCACCCCCCTTGTGCGCGCCGCCAAGTCCTAGCTTCGCCTCAGGGAGGGGGGATAGAGTCGGTGAGTCGCCCGATACATCCTCCGGAACCGCTGGATCGCAGAGACTCTCGATTCGCCCTCGCCCGATGTTACCCTCGTCCTGGCTTCGCCTCA